GCGGTTGGCAGAGGTGCTGGAGCGGGTCGAACGGGCCGTGACGGAGCACCGCAGAACTCTGACCCGGTGGAGAGACAGCTGACGTGGGCAAAGGTCCTGTGGAAGCTGTGGCTGCAGCCCTGCTGCGGGACCTTCCCTTTCTGCTCCTGCGAGGAGAGCAAGCACACGTCTGCAGGAGCAGAGTGAAGAAACCTACGCCACAGGAGAAAAACATTCAAAAAGATAACTGTAACTTTTTCTCTCAATTGCAAGTTTATATCCCACCGTTCATCATTTTTGCTTGCAATTATGACTTTTTTTTCCCCCTCAGAATTGCAAGTTATAAAACTGCAATTGTGAGTTTTTATATATTGCAATTTTGACTTCAGGGTTTACATCTCGCATTTCTGACATTTTTCCTTTTTTACAAATTACAATTGTGAGTTTATATCTCAAAATTCTGTCTTTTTTTCTCAGAATTGCGAGTTTGTGTCACAACAGCAAGTTATAAACTTATAAAACTTAATTCTGAGTTTATATGTCACAATTCAGACTTTTTTTTCTCCTCAGAATTCTGAGTTTATGTATCACAACTTTTGGATTTTTTCTCATAGTTGCGAGTTTACTTATTGCAATTCTGACTTTTTTCTCAGAATTATGAGTCTACATATCACAATTTTTTACATTTTTCCGCAGAATTGCGAGGTATAAAATTGCAATTGTGAGTTTACATCTTTCAGTTCTTTCTTTTTCAAAATTGCGAGTTCATGAAATTTATATCTTGCAATTCTAACTTTACAAGATCTGCTTGCAATTCTAAATCTTTTTTTTCTGAATTCTAATTTTACATCTCAATCACAATTTTGACATTTTTCCTCAGAATTACGAGTTATAAACTCTTAATTGCGAGTTCACATCTTGCAATTGACGTTTTTCCCAAAATGTTCAGACTCCTGACTTGATCGCACACATATGCAGAATTTTGAGAAAAGTCAGAATTATGAGATGTAATCTTGCATTTCTGAGAAAAACAACTCTGAATTTTGCACGTTTAAAGAGTGAAATAATTGCTTTTCATTTATCACAGCATCACAATACAATAGAAGACTTCTGTGATGTTCTGTGGTTTTAGTTGGTTTGTGTTACTTAAAATGTTTCATCCTGTTTGAACAAAATCATAAATAAATAAATGAATAAAAAACAAACAGCTGAATATGATATTAATGATTGTCTTTATAAACACTCTCTTGATGAATTTGTTCTGTCCAGCAGAGGGCGCTGCAGCTGCATACAGA